TCTCAACCAAGAAGTTGCATTTAGTTATTGTTCTTAATGGTTATTGAGGGCTTATACTTTATTAACTTCTTTGGTTCACATTGAACTATTTTAACTACTCAGTAGCTGTACATGTAGAGAACATGAAAATAGAGTCAGCAAATAATAAAACTTTTTAATACTGTCAATGGGGCAAACATATTCCACGAGGGCAACTCTTTGAAAGTCAGTAAAGGAGATCCAAGTCCTAAGAGGGAAGACTTGAGGGTAATTGTTCTCTGTCAAATACAGGATAAATGTTGCCATTGAAAGCTCTAAGGGCCAAGTTTGATTTCTGGTAAAATCCAAGATTTTAGTCATTCACATTTCCTGCATCACCTTATCTCTAGTTGTAAAATTAACGCTTTACAATATGGAACATACTGTGATTAGACCAGGGTTTCATGGTTAGTTTGCTACTATATGCAAGCTGTTGCCCCCTGGGTGCTGGATAGACCAAGCAGCATGGTTAAAGGTCAGTCTCTCCCTGCATTTGCTTTAGCAGGACTCAGGGTCTTCTACCCCGATTCTAATTTTCATTAAACTTGCAGAGATTTAGTATCTTTGAGTCAAATACCCTCCGTTAAATTGGATTAAAAATGGAAAATATATTTAAAAGTTATTGGAAAGACAGATGAACTGGTAGTGCAATTGCATAAACATATCTTCCATAAGGAAAAAACAGAATAAAAGCAGTTATAAAAGGTACTTGCCATAATATTGTTCTGATTGGATATGAAGCTACTGGCTTCAAAGAAGGACCAAAGTATCCCATCTATTGTCCCTTTAGTAATATTTCCAGCTCAAATGTCACAGCCTGTCAAAATAATTCACATTACATGTGAAAATTTTTCATTAAGTTCCATAGGAAAAATTGTTATTTCAAAGTCGAAAGATTTTTCCTTCTAACATTGTTTTGTATTAATCCCCTCTTTTTCAAACTGCAGAAAAAATTCAAATTAGTTGTACAGCTCAAGGCAATTCCAAAGTTTACATTCACTGTTGATGGCGATTGAAGTGATGGTTATTAGAGACCCAAGCAGCTGCACTGCCATCAGGGTCCTGGCTCAGAACTGAAAATTGAGGGGTTGAGGATGTCTCTGGGAGCCAAGAATTATGATACAGTTTGCGAATTTTTTTCAATGTTAGACTCATTTTAAGGTTTTTGAAAGGCTACTATTTCATAAATAACTTTGAATACTGCCTTCCACTTCATAGCTTTAAATATGACAATCCTTGTTCTTATTTTTAATGTTAAGGAAAATATTTAGAGCAGCACAAATAGAAGACTTGCAGCAGAATCTTGCCCTCCTGAACCATCTCAAAGTTTTAGGTGGAACTATGATTTTATCTCTGGGCTTTCAATTCTGCCAATAATCAAGTAACTTTATATAGGTCAGTTTAATTTTCTTTATCTCAGTTGCTTCAAATGTAAAATGAGAGTAAACAATAACCTCTATTAAAGAGTTGCCAAGAAAAACTAAAATACGAGATCTTCAAATGAAACACATAGTAAAAAAAGGTTTTAGATAATTTAACATTTAAAACTAGATGTGGGTATTATTCTGCATACATATATGGCTTTATTTTAATTTTGGATTGTAGGACAGATGTACATAGAAGAAAACCTTAGGTAATGTATCGAAGTTACCAGTAGGGATATACTAAATTCGTTGTAAAAAGTTTATAATGTTCATCTAAAAAAGCCTCATTATTTCATACACAAAGATTTAAAGAGACACTGCCCTACAATTTATTTAAATATCTTTTCAAATTTTATGAGAAATACATTTTTTAATTAGTGCTTGTAGAAGTATTATTAATATATATATATATATGACCTGCATTTCCTAGCAGCTGTACAATACCTACAAAATATCTTCAGATTCTATTACCTGTGAAAGCAAGGATTTCCTAATTTTTTTTTGTATGCAGAGACCATAAATTTAACTTTCTTTTCCTATGTAGAATTCCACATTTTCTGTTTCTCTGATCATGTTTTAAAATATGTATTAATTTAAACAGGAAACAGTTTCTATGGTTACACCTTCTACCTGATATTCTAAAAACATTGTGCAACGTATGTTGCAACTCATATCAATATAGCCTTTAAACTCTCTTTAAATCAAGTAACAAAAGAAGAACTATTAGAATAACAGTTAAGTGAGGCCTGCTTTTTGGAGGGAGGTTTTGTTTGTTGGGTATTTTGGGGTTTATGCTGCAGCTGTGTATTTGTATATTACATTTATGGTAGTTAAACTGTCATGGTAAAATAGCATGAGGTATGTATATCTAGAAATGAAAATGTTTTACTCCTTATTCTATGAGACAAGGCCATTTCCTGGACAACTCCAAGCATGCAGGAAAATTTTTACATAGTACATTTTACAGCTATTTGGGCATTTGTAGCTCACAAATAAAACATTATACATGTTTACTATGAGCTATTACTTACTTGCATTTCACATTTTCTGAACGTATTTTTCACCCCTCCATTATAGGATACACAATACCCAGAGAGTTAACAGAAGGTTCAGAGGTCCAGAACTGTAATATCTAGCATAGATGTAAGTCTGGGAGAAGGCCATAGAATAGTTAAAGCTTTGAAAAAGAGGTCTTCAGCTTTTATAATCCATTGGAGAGGTTTTATTTTGATTGATAGGAAAACAGTTTTAAGAAACCTTTAAGAACTTTCTTGAGACAAGAAAAGTTTCCTGTGGGATTGTTTTTCCAGACTACCAGTTAAACAGTGATACATTGGTATGTAAGCAACTAACTGCCAAGACAGAAGAGTATACAAGAACTGTTACCTTTATGTCATGATATTCATGATACTGGTCTTGTGACCTGCTCAGTGCCACCGCCTTGGTCTGACTTAACTCTGCCACACCTAGGATAGCTGGTCATCCCCATGTATCACTTGATTCATTGACCTTCTGAGGTCACTTCCAACATGAATTATCCTATGATCTTTTGTTACTATGATTCTCCATAGTCCATGGTTTAACATTTCTTTTAAACCCTCACACCAGCAGAGAAATTGCACATGAAAAACTGCTATAGGTACATAGAACTTTCTCACAGAGGACGGAATGGTGATGCCTCTGACCTACAACCAGCCCTTAGAAAGGTTAGCAATGAAACATCAGATAGTTGCTCAAATGTAGAAAAAAAATGAAAACAATTTGTTTAACATGATGTAAAGCCAAATTAAAACTAGGACAGAAAGCTTTTGGGGGAATAGACACATGCTAAATAAAAGTGGCTGCTGCCACTGCCACCCTGAAGGGCTTTACAAGATATCATGGAATGTGTCAATGTGATTTATTTTTATGAATTATTCCTATGGGCGTTATGTATGTATTCTGTGAAGATTAAAAGGAATTGTTTCTTTAGAGATATTACATTAAAAATCACCATAATGTTATAGTTTAATTTGGCAAAATAAAAGATCCTACTCACTGAACATAAATCAGTATAATAGAATAAATATTGTATACATATTCCATCACAGAACAATTCACAAGGCTGAATACATTTTTAAAATACAATGATGTTAGAAGTGAAACAATGAGCAAAAATATTTTCCAACTTTGAATATACTGAGAGACATATTTCCTATATTGTAGGATTTAATTTCCTTAATTATATCTGTTAGCCCTTCAAGAACTTATGAAGTGATTCTCACTGTTGCCCACTTTTTTTGAAGAGGTTACCAGCCTGTCAAATGCCAGAAGCATGAGTTTCAGAACAATGTGTAATTTCAGCTCACACAGAACAGGACTATTATTATCTCAAAAACATTATTTCTAGCGGGTTTTGTGTCTTTCTAATAATCCATACTGAAGGTCACACTAGACTTGATACAGGACTACTAACTATGTAAGTTTCTATAATAATTAATCACAATAGAGTATTTTTCTGTGCAGTGCCATACAGAAGCTTCAGGACACGCACAGCCTATCTCTTTCAGCATCAGAAAGCATTTAACGAGTGGCCTCTAGAGACTGCACCAATTACCTTCTTGGTTCCGACTGTAGTTACGAAGTTTCCACTGGACTACACTTATTTGTAACAGGTGCTGATTTTGACACAGACAGTACTCCCTATACTTTCAGTCACTGCTATTAGGGAAAACAATCACTGTGTGCAGCGAGACTGTCAGAATTCTCTTTTGCTAAAACCTTCTAGGACTACACTTGGCTGTTGACTATGGCTGATATTCATGCTGAAGGGCTCAACTTTGAACTGTGCTCACTTTGTCAGATACAACTGGAATAAGTTTAAAGCTTTAGGCAGTATAGAAGATTTCACTCCTATGTATGAGAGGACACAAAAATAATTCATGTTTCTACTTTTTACATAGGGCAAATACCTACATCTAAATAAAAAACACCTCATCTAATTACTTTTGAAGATTATTAGTTAATTTAATTTTGTGTACATGTGGATAACTATTGTCATCCTTCCATACTTCTATAGTCCCTTTTTTTCCTCTTCGTGTCTCATAGTGTGTTGTGATTAGGGTAGACTCTTGGTTCACAGAGTTCTTTTGTCTTCATCATTAAATGCAAATTTTTGTGGCAGGCCGCTTACACATGAGAATGTAACTACAATTGTGCTTTAGTTATATACCTCTATATCTACATGTGCATTTATACATTTTAACTATAGCACAAAGTACTTGAAAAGACATTTTATAAAATAATTGTTTAAAATATTATTTATGTAATAAAAAATTGTTTTTAATCGACACCCCAGGTACTTACTTGAGACTAGCCTCTTTAATATAGATTAAGTTCTAGTTAAGTGAGCTTCCTAAAAACATCCATAGACACTAAAGCAACAGAAATCAAGAAAATTTATTCTGTTATGTTCTGGAGATAGCTATAATGACATTTATCACTTATGAGAGGACTTCATAAGTGGAGCATTTGGAGCATCACATGTCAGAAAGAAAATCAAGTTCACAAATGACTTACCAAATATTACATGAGGAGAAGAATGATCCTGGGTATCTTTGAGAACAGTAATATATGTTCAAAGGCTGTTCCAGAGTAACAAACTACCTTGGGAATAAAAAATACATGTAAATGCTCTCCTGTTTTTTCTGTGTGTGCATTCTCTTTATGTTACTAATGATAAAGAGACCCTAGTTTAGAAAACATATGATAAAATCTACCTATTCAGTGTCAGGGCCCCAAGTGCAGTAATAAGCTCTCTCACTAATTGCTCTCACCAGCTTCACCTGAGGTCTCCCCCCATCTTTGATCAAGGACTCCATTTAAGTTCAGGTTAGGTTTTCCACTCTGGTTCTAAGCTATGTTTTGGGTGTGCTTGCTGCTGACTCTGTTCTTGATGTGTTATAATGTGTTCCTTGATGGACCTTAGGCTCTGTCTTATGTGATGATCACTGGACCGCTGCTGGGACTTGTTATTGTTATCATCCTGTTCTGCTTGCCTGTCTTTGGTGCTGTACCCCTACATCTTGCCAGTAAGGTCCCTGCCAAGTCTATGTTGTGGCCACGCTTTAGCTACCAGCTTACCTTCTCCTTGGGGAGCAGTATGCTCTTGTTGTTTCCTAACACTGGACTTAAACTGTATTCTTTAAGAGAGACACTCTGAAAATAATTTCTCTAGTGTTACAATTGTGGATAGTTTGTAATTAAGTAACTGAAGCATTTACTCATCTTATGATGGAAGATTAAGTTGCAGCTGGACTGATGGGCCCTTTTGGGGTTTACAGTTTGTACCCAGTTCATCGGGAACTCAGATAGCTTTGGAGTCCACACAGACCAGTGCAAAAGTACACAGGATATGATACCACCCAGGTTGTTACTATTATAATAGAAAGGTATGATTTTTACATGAGACAACTATTATACACACATGTCTATTATTGTATATTAAACTACAAGCAATGGGACAATTATTGGAAAACAATTACTGCAAGAAATGCATTTTGTGATTGAGACCCATCTTGGTCATTAACTAAATCTTGACCAGTACATAGCCATTTTATTGTGAGAGAAAACAAAAATTGTGGGTTTTTTATGAAGCATGAAGCGTGCTACCTAACAGAGATTTTTAAGCAGGATGGCAGATTACCTTGTCCATCCATTGCTCAATATCAACTTCTAAAACATGTTTTAAAGAGTTAAGTACTTATAAAAAATTTTATAGCCATACAACATCAGTCTTACTGAGTCATTTATCAGTGAAGTGTTAGGAATGAGTCATAATTTTATGAGGTGCTGTTTTCCTATAGTATATGAAATGCAAGAGCATGTCAAACATACTGCCACTAAGGTTTACTGTGAAGTCTGCTGAAATCATTTTTTTCAAAGCAACGTTTGCTGTATCTCATACAGCTTGAAGTCCGAATTAAATGAGCCGCTCTGTTGCGGTCAAAAGGAGAAAACAATCCTTTCCTTGCCTCAACTTTCTGCCCTGAGCAGCAATGGTGTCAGCTGGTTCAACTATACTACAAATATTAGCCGTGCTAATTTACAACTATACTTTAAGCAACTGTGGAATGTCTTTGCCACTATACCTTTATCGCTAATGCAAGATGGATGAATGACAATGCTACATAGTTGGCCCTTTTATAGTGACACTAGTCACAGTCTCTCATTTACTGTATATTAAAGCAACTACATGCTCTTGTACAGGCTAAAAGGTTTAGATGTATACCTGAATTTGTAACCTATTCCAGGTACATGTGCTTTGCATTAGGCAAGTGAGTGCTTTATCTCACATATGCACAGTTGTGTATGGAATTAGTCACTTACTGAAATGTTACTGGGGGAAAAAAAAAATCACAGCAGCTGACATGGACATGAGAGTATGACTAATCTCTGTTGGGTTTCAGTTACTTGAGTTTAGAAGGCTCTGTGAGGATACGTGTATTATTAAGATCCTACTGTATAATTCAAACTCTTTCATCTAGCCAATAGACTATACAAGGAGCACAAGAACACAAGGAGCCTCTAACTCATAAATGGTGATAATACTATGAGGCATTCCTTTAGTTTTGACCTTCATGCTCTGAGGTATGCACTGTTTGTAGAAGCGGTGATACAACTATTAATTTTTCAGGGTTAATGTGAAATTACACACTACCCAGATCACAGTGAAAGATCATGAGAAATATGTATGTGAATACTATTGACAACTGAAAACCAACTACAATCTTTTCATATACCCTTCTGCAGCCCTCCCCAGTTGTGATTCATGAGAATCAATATAAGCTGTGTTTTCTAGAAAAGAGGACTTACGGACTTGATTCTAAATGTAGAGTATATTTGACTAAGCCATAAAAATACTATCAAAGGAGAGGCCCAAGGCTAAAATAGGAGGTGTTTTTCAAGCTAGAATTGAAATCAATTGGTGGCTCTGCATGAGGGAAGCTTGAACGGTATTTTCCTGAACTGTCTTTGATTTAAGCAAGTGTTGGCAATCCTTATTTTCATGGTTAAGATGATTTTTTTTTTTTCAATAAATTATAAAAAATATCACTTTTAATCAGGCCTTTTCACATTGAGCAAAAAAACCTGCTGGTCTTCCTGACAGTTAGATAAATCTAATAATATCTTAAATACAAATATAAGTTAATATAAAATTGCACATCTTTTTGAAGTGTTATGAGCAGTGGCTTTATGACTGTGAAGTCTGTCAGGTTTTCTCAATGGCTCACATTTCAGTATCAGAACTATGGGTGGCATCAGGTGTCTTATATTTAACACCATTTAAACCTGGCAGCTGTTTAGCTTACCTTTCTTGCATAATAAAACCTTCCCGAATAAAAAGGGAAATTTTCAGTAAGACTGCTTAGAGCAAGACCACTAGATGCCACTTTAGTGTTTCACTGAGTATAGGTAACACTTTCAAAGGGACAGATTCTATAGGTTTCTGAATTCTTTGTGCTCCTCAGCCAGTAAGGAAAGAACAGAAACAGGGCTGACAACAAGCATAAAATGAGTGAAACAGGATGCAACAGCTCACCACCTATAACTGTCAATCTTAATGGGAGAAGTGACTATAGCACCCTAGGGTAAGGTGGTGGGGGTGACCCTAGTCCTCTGGTTCACTGCTAAATAGGAAGGATTAGAGCATTCCCCACGTTGCTGACATCTGTTATGGCCAAAGCATAACTACAACAGCAGACAACTAGTCGTAGTCTTCCAATTCCCCTTGCCTCCCTACCTAACAGGAATTTTCTACAGCAAATAATTATGTATCCATCTCTTGCAGTTCTTGCACTGAAGAGTGCCTTTGCCCTGGCCACGAGGAAGGTTACTGTCTGGACTGACTGTCTTTCATGCTACTCCTCATCAGTTGTTGATTTACTCTCAGCACTATTAAACATACTGCTCAGAATGGTCATCATGGAGATTCTTCCTGTAATTATGACTGAAGGTTTACCTCATCATTTCTGACACATGTTTATGTCATCTTGGAGGTAGATTGTATTTCCAGGTGCTATTAAACAATTAGGTTTCAAAAGGATCAGGAAGTTCTTTACTTTTTTTTTAAACACAGCACGATCAGATTCTTCTAAGAACAGTAGGTAATGGGCACAAAATGAAACACATGAAATTCAACATAAACATAAGAAAACACTTTACTGTGAGGGTGACTGAATGCTCGAACAGGTTGTTAAGAGTTATTGTGGAGTCTCCATTCTTGGACACATGGTCCTGAGCAACCTGCTATAGCTGACCCTGTTTCAGCAGGGGTGTTGGACTATATGTAATTTAGGTGTCTTTCAACCTCAACTATTCTGTGATTCTGTAATTAGATAACCTTCTTTAATGTAGCCATCATATGATTTATGCTTTTCACTTTGGGATTGGATAATTAATTGATTCAACAGAGCAATGCCCCATGACTACAGAGAGTATGAAGCTCTTAGAGATTCATAGCCTAATGGTAGAAATGAGACACCTGAAATTAAACACATCAGTGTTTCATGTCTATCCCAGCTTGGGTGTGTTTGAGGAGGAATCCAAAAGAGTTGGCTGGACTACATGTTACCATCCTGAAATCACCCTAAATGAGAGACCACATCTCTCCCTCCCTGTTCTTCACAATGAACCACAGAGGTGACTGAGCTAGCTGCCTTTCCACTGGCAGCACTGTCTGCCAGCATCTCTCCCCACTGGCATGTCTTCCCATCTGGTCTTGAATAGGCAGGTGTTGTTAACTCAAGCTAGTCTATAAAGGTGCAGGAGTTTCACAGGAGAGAGATGCTGAGAAGGTTTTCTTTCAAATTAGTAGAGTGTGTTTACTCTTTCAAATGTTCTGAAGACAAGCACTATCTGCTTCTTGCTGCACAGTGGTTGTAGGCGTTAGTGGTTTACCGAAGGGTACTTTTAAAGCATGAGAAAGATCACAAGTATTCTGGCTGAAAATATTCTTTGTCTTTGTGCATTCCAAATAAACACAGTTTAAAATTTAGCTTCCTTAGACTGTTTTCTCCCCCTAAATGTTAGAGATTAAGTGCCATTCAGATGTGTTGGAACATCTCCCCCCTTCCAAAGGCTACCCATACAGAAATGTTTGGCTTCCCTTCAAATCAAAGACTATAAGAACGGAAAACTGCTGAGAATGGGGGTTAGGAACAGTTGCACTTTAAAATGACTAGGGGACTGAGTTTATACTTGTGAAAACGGAACAGGTACAGCAGAGAGGCCATGAAAATCAGGTTTATACTCGGACTGGTTGGACTCATGGAATGTGATTAGATTATCAGCAATAGAACTTGCACAGATCATGGGAGTTAATCGTATTTGTACAGAGAGGCCTTAGCTGTACTGGCCTAGAGGAGTGCACTTGTTTAACAAAGAATTTGCAAACAGAGTAGCTCACTTAAAAATGCAGAGAACTAGAGATTTTGATGTCATGCTTCCAAATGTGAGCAGAATGTGTTTCTTTTTTTAAAATTTAAATATGTTTTCAAACTCCTTTAAGCGGAGAGCAGTTCTAAAAAAATAACAAAACAAAAAAAGCCTCTGTTGTTAAACAAATAATTGATTAGTAATTTTTAATGTTATTCCTATGACATTGG